GAGAGAGAGAGAGAGAGAGAGAGAGAGAGAGAGAGAGAGAGAGATAGATGAAAGAGAGAGAGAGAATAATAATATGGCTGTATAGTGGGGTAAATTTATGGAGTATATAGCATATGCATGGCTGCTTCGCGTGCACGAGCGATGCCTTGTACTTGTAGTGATTAATATATGCTGAACCGCCAGCAGTATACGCCTCCACCAATTGCAATAAGATAGGACACATGAGCAGCTGCTGGGCAGCTTATTGGCTGCGCCTACTAGCGACGATGCGACAGTGATCGAGACAGACAATGCATGCATTCATGATATAGTAAAAATTCAACATATATATATATATATATATATGTCTGGATGCTTGAGTCTATACCAGGGGCGGATTCAGACCGTATTTGCCGTATTGGGAAATACGGTCTAGATTTCAAAGTGCCCTTCGAAATTTTGTGCTAAAAAATACAGAAAACAATTTGATGGAATTTGGCTATATTTTTTAATTGTTTTCTTTTTCTTCTGATTCATTGACAGGACTTGAAGGAAATCAAAATTTTACATGGCAACAAAACTAGCTTTGATATCTGAAAAAGAAGGGAAGTGCTTGAATCATTCTGCATTAATTGCTGGTATGCAAAGCGCAGGCAAAATGAAGCAGAAATAAAATTCCATATGGTTTTTAGCTATTGCTGCTTGACTAAACGTGTACTCAAATGGTGCTCATTTTTGTGCCCAGGGACCCTTGAAATTTTGAAATTTCCCCCCGCCATGTGCTTCCGCGCCTGACGGCGCCCACCGTGGGGTGGTGAGCCCTTTTTGGGGGATGTGCCCTTAAAATCTGGAAAAATACTGTCTAGCTTCAGCCCTGGATCCGCCCCTGTATACTGTCGGTAGAGTGATCGATGCGTTAAGTTGCAGAGCGTAATAAATTGTAGTCTGTAGATAAATTAAAGACAAGACGCGCGTACATCACTTTTATCTGTTACTCCGAGTTTCACGCTTACGCGATCATCAGACAGACTTTAATGAAGAATAAACCTTATATACATACTATAACCTATATATACACGAATGGTGCTATTGTTATAGTTATCTATTGTTATGTAGTTCTATAGTTAAATCGATCTATTGTTCTGCTGGTTTATTGTTGTTCGGCTTTTGACTTTTTTGTTTGTTTCTAATATTATAAGATTAGAAACAAACAAACAAAGTCAAAAGCCGATCAACAATAGACCAGCAGAACAATAGATCGATTTAACTATAGAACTATAGAACTGCATAACAATAGATCGATTTAACTATAGAACTGTAGAACTACATAACAATAGATAACTCAAAAACAATAGCGCCATTCATGTATATATAGGTTATAATATGTATATTAGGTTTATTCTTCATTAACGTTTGTCTGATGATCGCGTAAGCGTGAAACTCGGAGTAACAGCTAAAAGTGATTGATGTCTTGTCTTTAATTTATCTACAGACTACAATTTATATATATATATATATATATATATATATATATATATATATAGAGAGAGAGAGAGAGAGAGAGAGAGAGAGAGAGAGAGAGAGAGAGAGAGAAGAGAAGAGAGAGAGAGAGAAGAGAGAGAGAGAGAGAGGAGAGATACGACAACTATTTATTTCTATATATAATATATTAGATTTTAGACTGACGGGCTGTAATTTCGATAATATTTACTCGTTTAGAAATCTTTATTTGATTATTATGATGTACACTATAAGGTCGTAATATCTCGCATTCCTGCGCATTTAGTGCATACGAAAAAATGAAAATAGTGTGCTATATAAGTCTATAACATTGCGATAATTATATAAGTATAAAGAAGATAC